CCAACCACGAACTAAGACACGAGAAGAAACAGTCTCATTGCTTACGTGCAGGGGGGACTTGCGGCGGAATCGTTGGTGCTGGAAGTCCTGGCGTGGGCGCAGGCGCTGCCGCTGTTTGCGGGGCAGCTGGTCGGGGTCGTGCAGGCGATGCTGGAGCGACTGCTGGAGCGGTGCCGCGCGGCCTACACTGAGGTAAACGCACATTATAGGGTTTTGGAGTTTTGTTTTTGGGTTTCAGGGTCTCGGGGTATCTGAAGGGATTGTGCAGGCGATGCTCGAGCGGCTGCTGGAGCGGTGCCGCGCGGCCTACACTGGGGTAAGAGGAGCTGCTTACGAAATTTGGGGAGGTGGGTTCAAAGCTGTAGGTGTTTAGGGTCTCGGTTGGGGTCATCTGATGTTCGATCTGCAGTCCTTGCGTCTCTTGGTTAGAGCTGCAGAATTTGGAGGAGGTTGGTGAAGACTGTGCACTGAGAGTGTTTTTGGTCTCAGTCAAAGCGTTCAGTAAAACCGTTGTGGCCTCTTACCAACGTCAGTCGGCAATGTCCCTTCGTTCTCTGACAAATACTGTCCCGTGTTTCTCTGACCTCATCCCTTGACGTCACTTTTCCAGGCGGTTCTGGGCAGCCTGAGCAGCGCGCTAGCGGCCCGCTTCGACTTCGAGAACCTGCAGAAGCGAGAAACGGCGTTCATGGCGCTTTTTGCGGAGCCAGCTGGCGGCGCGGGCCAGCTCCACGTGGCAGAACTAGAGGGGCGGGAGGAGGAGGCGGAGGCGCTCGAGGAGGAGATGTTCCATCTGATTGAGGGGCAGCAGCCAATCAAGTCGGAGCACCTCATCATGGACTTTTCCAAGGTACCGTACCACCGCTGACGACCCGTATGCGATTCGGAAGCTTTCAAAACATTTGTTACTTCTGCGAGATGAATGGCCAAGTTCGTTCATACATTTTGCACGCTGGATCGAGGTTGGAGGGGGGTCGAGAAGTGCTTGATGGAAGAGTACCGACTCCGATCTGCTCAGCTCAGAGTTCATCCACGATATAGTGGATGGAATGTGATAAGTAACCTACGACTTATTTGGCAAATATTTGTCGGCCCTTTTGAAAGAAGGGGGCTGTATGCACTCGATGGCTTGGCCTTAGACAATTCGAAAGATAATTGACGCACCTCCTTGCCGGAATGCATCGGCGTTTGCTGTTTGCCAGGGACTGGTTGGCATCCTTCGTCACGCTCAAAACTGGCAACTGGTGTGACAATAGAAACTCCCTCTAAGAGCACCAGTGACCAAAATAGGGTGTCGTTTATACCCCCGCTAAGACCGGTTCCAACATGGGCAAATAATTCACAATTAGACATAAATCATCTCAATCTAAACCATTGATCAAGACGCTTTTTCCTTACCCCTCTCCAGGTGGTCCTCCTCGCCGCCCTCAGCGACAGCCTCGATTGGCTGGGTGACGTCATCTCCCAGCTCGGCAGCGGCGGCATGACGTCGTCATCCTCCGTGGTCAGCCCCGTGACTAGCCCCCTGCAGGAGCGCGAGCGCGCGCGCGCGCGCCGGCCGCCGCCGCTGAGCGCGCAGCACCGGCGGGGGAGCAGCCAGACCCTGACGTCAGGGCTGGCAATCCTGGCGGACAAGTTCCACAATCTGTCCGTGGAGTTCATTCGGACGCTCCGCCTGGAGATGCAGCTGCAGACGGCGTACCACTTCCAGGTGAGCGCATGTGTGCCACGTGGGCTGTGTTCATTAGGCGGCCTTGCTGAGAAATAAGCGTTTGCGCAGGTTTTCGCTTCAGTCTGATTAGCCAAACGATCTCGACCAATTGTTTTTTGAGTGGTTTGCACTGGGGCTGTAGACCAGTTGTTTGCAGCAGCACGAGTAGGTTGGGTAAAGAGGCGACGAGGTCGTAGTAGTTGCTTTTCTCGCAACTTAATTCCTTGGATTGGTGTTCAGCCGGAGCCGGAAAACTTGGAACATCGTGGCTGTGCTTCGAAGAAAAGTGTGCAATCAGCATAGAAAGGAGTCACTTACGCAAGACAACACTAGTCTCTTTGGGACCATTGTTGCAAGGTGGCCTATCTTTCCGACACCAGTAGCGTCAAGCACGGGGGCCACGAACACATGCTTCGCAGTTGGATGTAGTTGACGTGCGCTTCGATCGTGAAGTTCGATCATGACGAAGGACAATACACGCAAACGTGGCCAGTCTTGACGTAGGCCATGATGTCAGTCCATCTTCTTGACAGCAAAATAAAGCGAAGCACTGACCCCGCTATAGAGCGTATGCTGCTCGTACCATCGCTGATGATTCTGTGCCCATCACTTATGCATCCCGCGCCGTTCTTTTATGCAGGACATGACGGACCGGTCGTACGTGTGCGACGTCGAGCCCGAAGAACCGGACGAGTACGTGCTATCGCTTACGACGCAAATGTCCCGCCTCGACGACGAGGTGTCGTCTTATGTGCCCCCCGTGCGGCGGAGCTATGCGTTTGGGGGGGTCTGCGGAATTGCGGCGCGGTGCGCGATCGCCAACCTGGGGCGGATGAAGGCTATCAACCACCTGGGCGTGCGGCAGGTGAGAAGGCTTGACTTTGTTGCCAGGGAGTCTCCGTTTTCGAAGATCGACTGGCGGTTGGACGTAGGTTTTGCCATTATCTTGGCCTGGTAGCGTTGCCGTTCTGGTTGTAGAACAGTAGTATGGTCAGAAACCTTAAGGCGGACGGGCACCGGTGAAAAGGTCTTGCGGAACGACAAGGCTATCCCAGTCTGTGTGCTCGTCTCGTTTCTCTTTTCACAATGTTGTTGGGCTTTAGGTGAAGATACGAAAAAGTGACCGGACCTGCTGATCTGCAGATAGAACTGTCTGTTTTGATTAAGAGTCCCGTTCCACTGCATCAAGGTGCCGTTTTCGGCTCTTTCAGCGAAAGCGAAGATCACGTCTGGACCAATGTGAGCCCTTTTTGTTGTTCCATGCTTCTTCAGCTGCTCATCTTGAAATCTGAGCGAATGGCTTGGTTCATTTCCTCCGCTAACACAAGCAGCACTTTTCTCTCGGTGTTGAGAGGATTGAAAGGATCCTTACGGCCTCCGTTACATACAGCTGTTTGCGTTAAATCTGCCCATCGGGTTCCAAACCCTCCGAGCTTGGTGTCTGATCTTGAACCGGCCGATGCCTTCCTTGTTGTCGATCAAGCGGTTTAAAATTAGGAACCATGTTTCCTGTTGGCAGGTGTGACGCAAAAAGCTGTATCTGCAAATGGTCCCAGTTTCTAACCAGGTGATAATGTCCCTTTTTGCAGGTTGCACGTGATTGCATCGCTCTGCAACAAACGCTCGCCAACCTGGGCACCGGCGGAGATTACGCCTCCCTGCAAAGGGCGCAGGCAAAGTTCGACCGTGTGCGGCAGTATTATGAGCTTCTCACCATACCGGTCGAGTCGTTGATCGCCTTTGCACAAGATCACCCGGGAGCGTACAGCCCCGAGGAGTTCCGGAAACTGCTCATGGTTCAGGTTCCGGGACGGGAGGTGCCGACCGATGCGATGCACAAGCTTGTGAGGACGTTCGCCAGATGAGCCGGTTGCTCGGATCTATTTCGGATTGTAATTTTTAGAACTTGCCCGGCCAACTCTGACAAAGTCAACAAAGCCGCTTCGTGAAGACTTGTAAACCACAAACCCGCAAATATCGAAATATATGCACTGTCAACTTGCAGTTATTGCATACATAGCGTGCTCATTGCAATATACGTGACTGACTACGATTCGCACATGAGGGAAGTATAACCTACCAATGATGATGTGCATCGTCATGACCATGTGATCTGAACTTCAACCGTGCTAGACGGCCGGCGCGTCATATGTGCATGCCGGCAGCATGCGTCGGCCAGCTTGAGCGCGGCCTAGTACTGGCGTCGTAAGTACCGCGGTATGTCCAATGGAGCTAGGCGCCGGGAATTATAAATTCAAGACTGATCGTATGAGCCACTTCGCCTAAGTTGCTGCCCATCCATGCAAGCGATCCAATCGCATGCGCGTCGCGAGTTGTTTCCCTCAGAATGATCGCGTTCAGGATAGCCTTAAATGGACGCGCCTTCGCGATCACATCAATCCATCTGGCATGCTGGGCACTGCTCATGAGAATCTGATCACAATGTACTGTGCGCACATGCCTGACCAGCATCCATAATCATTACTGAACTTGAAAACAGTTAGCACGATAATCGTTAAGTTCATTAAGCATGGCAGGCCGGCAGAAAGCACATGGTGCTTCCGTTTGACCACAGAAGCTAGTCCGACCCGATACTCATTGCCGCTCAGAGCCCATTTTTTGCCCGGTCAAGATGCAGTAGACCATGGTCCTAATTTGCTATTCTGAGCAAATTTCGCCTTAGTATGTACAAGGAAACATATGACCGGACACTGCCACCTTCTGACTCCCAGCCAAGCTGGGGACGTTTTGTTCACCCTCACCGAATGCTTTATGCTATTCTTTGGCCGCAATGAATGCTACAAATACCACCGAGCAACATGAATCAGCGCCCGCAAAATGTCTGCGACCCGCGTACTTTGCGACGAAGTAATATCTCCAGCCGTCAGTCGACCGCCCTGGTCCAAAACCCGATGATCAACGGGAACGCCGCGCCGGTCGCGGCCGCCGCGGCCGCCTTGGCTGACGTCAGCCCGAGGTTCGGTAAGAGGGCTGCGCCGAGCGCGCATGCCGACGCCATGCGCACGAAGTTAAAGAGGAACCAAGGGCAGCAGCAAGCCGCAGGTTCGTCGAGCTGCAAGGGAGGCGGATGCGGAGGGTGTGACCAAATGTGGCTTAATCGTCTGAGGAGTTCTGGATCATTCTCCAGAAAAACTTCATAACTTATGCCAATACTGGGACTGGTAGGGTTAGTATGGGGTAAGGGTGGGTACGGGTGCAGAGGCGCGCGGATGATTTCCGGGTTTAGGTTTTAGTGTGTCCTCGTTCTTACCATAACTTGAACTTACTGTGACTAATCTAGAGAAGGACGACTTTTGGTACTACAAAAGACCTCCAGGTGGAGCCGAGTTGTTGTTTCAACGAGGTGACAGGATGACCAAGCCGGACCAACGCCGGAATGATAGGAAAGACTTTGTGCATCTGGACGCGGACTGGGGCTCCAATGATTGGACAAGAGGAGCCGCAAGTTCCAAACATTTTTCGAAGGATCTCAAAGCAGAATTTTCATGGATTCCAAAGCAACCTTTTCTATGCTTCCACTTCTTCCGAAGCAGGCCCTTCGTCTTCTGGATTCCGAAAGGAATAGCATCAAATTCAAAAAGTCGTCAGTAAGTTCTCTACTTTGTCGTGACCACAGTTATCATGTATTACACAAGTTAAGTGATAGAAGTTTGCAGACTTTGAACATTTAGAACAAGGTTTGGTGCGAAGAAGTTTGGAAGTTGCTAGCTCAGCAGGCTGGAACCGTCGCCTTTCCGACGAATCTCGCAGCTAGAATGTCTTTCGCGTTGTCGGGTTTGACGACATATATCTAAATGTTTTCTTGTGTGTCTGTTCCCCGTTTACTAAAATAGTGGAGAAAGCATCAAGAACCAGCAAGCAGCCCTGCCGTAGTCCTGCTCAACGAATCTCGTCTCCGTGCTTGGATCATTGAGCATTGATCATTGAATAAACGATACCAAGCGAAAGTGCCCCGATGCCAGCGCTCGCGACAAACCGAGACCTATTTAGATAGCGTCTCGTTCCTGGACTCAGACACTCAATTCATTTGAACATTTCAGATCTCATTCGGGTGGGTGCAGATTTGCAGATTCGAAGAATCTCAGGCGGACCGCAGGACTCCGTGACGGCCATTTTGTGTCGCAGCCTTCTTCCAGATAAACAATCCCGTCTGGCGAATCAGCCACGGGGCACCCTTATGGTTCAAAAGTCAGAAGGTTCCGGTTGATACTGGCAACATCTGTGTTCACTTAAACTTATGTTCACTTAAGCATCCGCCCGGGGCAAAAACAAACTAGAATCCTAAACTAACAAGATTACACGCTCCGCACCCGTTCACCCGTACCCACTCTAACCCCCAAACCAACCCTACCCGTCCCCGGGACCTGTTCTTTGGTGAACACGGCCCTAGGTGAACACAAATGTCGCCAGTTTTCCGGTTGGGCCAAAAAGTGCCCAACGGTGGTGCACTCCGAAAGAATCTGGAGCAGCAATCTTAATGTGGCGTCGAAAGGTGGGTAGTAGCACGAATAGGCACAAAATCGTCAACGACTGTTCCTAAGCCGGTTCGATTCTCTATCGTTTGATGTAACGCACCGTCCAATCATCGTCTTCACCGTACTCTTCCCTCAGCACCGCAAACACCGCCTCCGTCGCGGCGAAAACCAGCGCGCCCCCAACGGCGCCCGCGGCCGCGCCCGCGATAAAGCCCGGGTACGCGTACTTGTGTGCGAGCATTGCGCACCCGATGCCGCCCGCCAGGAACGACCCGAGCGCCCCACAGAAGGTAATCAGCGCGGCCGCCAAGGCCTTCTGCCTGAAGCGGTCCCACGGCAGCCCCTCCCAGCATCGCGGC